CTACATAGAGACATTCTCCCCGGTTGCTAAGATAGGGTCAGTTCGTGTTGTCATCTCCCTGGCAGCTATGTATGATTGGCCTCTACATCAACTAGATATCAAAAATGCCTTTTTGCATGGTGATTTGCTCGAGGAGGTCTACATGGAGCAACCACCAGGGTTTGTTGCTCAGGAGGTCTCTTCCTCTCCCTCCCCTCTCCACCCACTGTCCCTTCACCTTCACATACATTTGAAAGCAAATATCTCACTGTCATCGGAGACAGCTGCATCTGAGCCCCGCTGCAAGTCCCTCTCTCTTCTCTTCTCCTCCCTCTCCACCGACACGCTGCATCGCAACGCAAATCGCAGCCCAACCCCACCATTGCAACCCACTCCGGTGCTGTATTCCGGCTACTTCAAGAACCCTCCTTGCCGCTGCAGCCCTCACCGGTGCTGTATTCCGGCCAGCTCCATAACCCTGCCTCACCCCTGCAACTCTCGTGGTTCTTATTTCGGCCACTTCAGGTTTAATGTGCTGTATTTCGGCCATTTCAGGGGTTTATTTTCTCAACAAGAAAATTCCATTTACCCAAATGCCCAATCATAGATTAAATCACATTAAACAACATGGTGACAATTATCTGTCAAGATTGCAGAAATTGGGAAGAGAGTTGTTCCCGTTTGTTTCTCTTCAATCCAGTTCTGTACAGTTTACACATAATTTATGGCCTGTAACTCTGTAAGATATCAATTTTCAATTGTGAGATTTTCATCCTGTCTACAATACAGAGACCATGTCGATATAAAACTTCTATGAACTTGGATGAACTAGAACAGCTGCTGTGTAAACTGAGAAGAGATACACAGGTTCGAAGAGAAGGAGAGGGAGGAGGAAGAGAAAGAAGGGGTTCGGATGATGATCTGCCGCCCCATATTCTTTATTATTTATAGGCTTTGATTCCTTACAAGAATAGGATAGAAATACATAAAATCCTAATCCTAGTAAGACAAAAGATAATATGGATAAACATAATAAGGCCAGCCGGCCCAATCTTAAAAGAAAAATAAAACCAGCTAGGAAATAACTAGGGGCCCGTTTGGCAAGTCTTTTTGAGAAGATCTTCTCGTAGCTCTGAAGTCAATAGACGCATTGAGCTTTTGACATAAGATCTGGGCAGCCCATAGACCGTTTGGCAGAAGAGCGTCTTTCCGTGCGTCATTTCGGGACTTTTCGCGCGAGATTAAAATGTGAAAGACGTGAGAAGCTTCACTTGGAGCTTCCTGAAATCAGCCCAAAATGGGCTTCATGCGTCTTTTCGGCGCCGCATCTTTTGGCGGCTAGATCTTCCGCATGCCAAATGGGAATAGACCGATTTTTTGTCTTCCCGGCTTGTAAACAGCCGAAAGACTGTGCAAAAAGACGCGCCAAACGGTGCCTAGGTGTGGGTATGGACCCACGAGCCTGAGTGTGGGTATGGAACCCCACACTCGTGACTTAGTAACTATTTCTTCATATGATATTCCCAAACTTGAAAAGAAGATCCAATCTTCAATCTTTGTTAGATTTAACATTCTTCAGAACTGAAAGTCTTAAACATAAATAGAGCAAATCAAATGCAGTACCGGTGAGGAGGGTTCCTGAAGTGGCCGGAATACAGCACTGGAGAGGGTTGTAGAGGCGGGGTTAGGTTGCGATTTGGGTCGCAATGCAGCGTGTCGGTGGGGAGGGAGGAGAAGAGAAGAGAGGGACTTGCAGCGGGGCTCAGATGCAGCTTCGTCTCCGATATTTGCTTTCAGATGTATGTGAAGGTGAAGGGGCGGTGGGTGGACAGGGGAGGGAGAGGAAGAGAACTCTCGACGGGAATGGTGGAATGAAAAGGAGAGGTTGAACAAATTTGATAAAAACTGATGTCCACACCGCTGTTAGAATCCTAATTCTGTTAGTTTCAAAATGAGTAGGAGAATGTGACATGTTCGAATAGTATTGAATGGAACAGAAAATTTTCTGTCCCTAGGGGACAGACAACCCGAACTCGTAGATTATGGGTCTTAAAAGAAAAGAAAAGAAAATGTGCTCTGATACCAAGTTGTGATTCAGTCCAAGAATAATTCCTTCAAATAATTGGAGATTTATTCACAAGAGTGAGAAGAAAAAAGGCTCATAGCAGAGGAAAGAGAAAAAGAGGGAAAAAAAAGAAGAGAATAGGTTGAGAGGGAAAAGGAAATCATGGGCTGTCTAGCAGTCCAGACTCTCTTATAATCTGACTAATTATAAAAATAATTACATTGACCAATCTGTCCCTAGTATGTGGCAGAAAATAAAAATAATAAAATATGGCTTATGTAGGCCCATAACCAGTCAGCCTGATACCTAATAATAACAAATAAAAAATAAATTAAAGATCCACAATGTCCTTACAGCCCAATATCACTTGTCAAAAGAAAGTGGAATCTGTAAAATTTGACAAAACCTTAAATAACATTTTGCATTAAAATTTTGTCAGTTTTTTTCCTTTATATATAAATCATGATRGTAGAAGGTACCTGCAAACAAGTATTTTTATGCAAATTTCTAAAATCATTAATATACAAGTGAATTAAAGGATGATATCTACTGGTATACCAAAAGGATTACGTTTATTGGCTTAAAGAGATCAGAAAGTGTGGAAAAACATGCATATCCTAGAACCCAATGGCAGTATCCATAGAGAGGAAAATAGAACCATACCTTGTACTTTCCTGGTTTTAAGCAACCAACTCGATAGTCTGAGTAACTCTTAGTCCAATGGAAATTAAAGACAAAAACCAAGTCCCCTCGCTCAAAGATAATCATCCTATCTCCTTCATCTTTCCGTGATATATACTGATGCTCTGATGTCATGAACTGTAGAATAAATGGTTCACCAATGCAACAAAGATTTCATATTTAGGAAAACAAACACAAGTTTCTTCAGCAGAATTCAAGCTCAAGGGTAGTTACAAAAATTCTGAATACATGATTCTGCAAGAACATTGTTAGAGTCGACAGCATAAGGGTAGTTTAGTCTTTTGTCATTTAATTAGAGGTGTGTTGTCTATTTTGTCTTTGTTTAAGTTGTGTGTCCCATAGTTAATGAGGGACATAATTATCTTTGTATTCCAATGCATAAACTATAAATAAAAGTTGGGTTGGCTGAGAGAGTGCTTTTCTCTCTCGCCAAACTTTCTATTTCTCTCCTCTTCTCTCTTCTTCTCCTTCTCTCTTTCTTTCTTATTTCAGACCTAGAACTGAACCAGTGTTAATCGAACCATTAACAAACATATTTCATACTAGAGTTGAAAATGCAGCATCTGTCAGTGATCAGGAAGGAAGATCCAAAATAAGCTTGAGTTCCTTGTCACATTGGAACGAGAAGATTTTGTGTGTTTTGCAAGATCAATGGGTATATTTTTTTTTTGTGTAGAACTCTTCTCATAACCAAAAGGGAGTCAGAAAATTACAAAGCTTATCAAACTATCTTAGATGAACATAGTTCAAACATTTATTTTGAGCATCTCTTGTTACAGACCATATACTGGAAAGACTCATACTGTTGTTCTCTCTCTCTCTCTCTCTCTCTCTCTCTTAATCTTAGGAAACATTCATATTGTTACTGCCAATGGTGAGAGACTAAAAATTGTTGGCACCCACAATCTAACCTTGCTTGGTTAAGGTTAATCTGACGTGCACCCCTAGTGAAAGTAGGGACCATAAGGACATGCTTTCTTTGAAGTTTGAGAGGGATTGTACACCATGTCCAATTGTTTCATTGTTTGCTTTCTTCAAGTATATAATCAACTTCCTTTTGGGATTTATGGCATAGATGCTTGGATCATCCTCATTTGATAGACTTCAATATTTGGTTTGGTTTGTTGAAATGTAAACTTCTTCCATTGCAGCCATTTGGTAAAACTTGTACTAGTACTGTTAATACCTTTTCCAGCTAGTACTATTGTATCTACCACTCTTCTTGATTCGATAGACAATGATGTAAGGGGATCATCTCCAGTCTTATCCTGTTTGAGCTTTAAATAGTTTCTGTTGTTCATTAACAATTATACTCAATATACATGGATATATTTTGTGTAAAAATCAGGTTTTTTCTTTTACATTTAAAATTTTCTTGCCATGGTTGAAAACTTGAAATCCACTTCTCTGTTGGAATCAACATTTTGCATTCTAATTCAGAGGGAGAATATATTGATAAGGGAGCTTTAGAAATTTAATGGAATCTTGTCCCAACACTCGTGTCCCGGTACTTCACAACAAAATGGGATACATAAAAGAATCACCACATTTTGGGGGTTAGTCAAATGTTGCTTCTTGATTCTTCTGCTCCACCATACTTTTAGGTGGACATTATCTCTACTATTATGTACCTAAGTAATCAATTTCTTAGACCTAATTTGCATAATACCTCTCCACAAGAATCATCTTCCTGAATATTCTAAGCTTCACGTTTTTTATTGTGTTTGTATTATTTACTTTCCTCCACATTTTTTTTAATGTTACAATCCTGCCATTCCTGTGTTTTTCTTGAGCATGTTTCCTACTTTGCTTTTACCGCTAAGCCTCTTAGTACATCACCAGAAATCATATATATGTTTTCTTTCTAGAAGAGAGAGAGAGGAGAGAAGAGAGAAGAGAAAGGGAATCAAAGTATGTGGGAGTCAAAAGATTGGGCTCGCCCAGCTTCACATTTATAATAACATGCTGAAAAATAAAAGATGAAGTAATTACAAATATGTCCCTGGYGGCACATCCTAAAAATAAAACTTAAACAAGAGAAAAGAACATGCTGACAGCACTCTAACAACAGAAATAAAACTAAAATCAACAACACTCCCCCTCAAGTTGGGCTGAATATATCTATCATGCCCAACTTGTCACATAGCTCATTGTGCCACAAGTATGGAAGCCCATTTGTGAGAGCATCAGCAAGTTGCTCCTTGAACTTGACATAAGGAGTACAAATTTCTCCCTTTTCCAATTTTTCTCTTATAAAGTGCTTGTCCACTTCAATGTGCTTGGTCTTATTGTGTAGGACAGGATTGCTAGCAATGTTTATAGCCACCTTATTGTCATAGTAAAGGGACATAGGATTGTGAACAGTAACCCCAAATTCCCCCAAAAGATTCTTCAGCCAAAGAACTTCAGCCACCCCATGTGCCATAGCCCTATACTCCGCTTCAGCACTTGACCCTGCAACTACATTTTGTTTTTTACTTCTCCATATCACTAGATTTCCTTCTACAAATGTACGGTACCCACTTGTGGACTTTCTATCATTCACAACACCTGCTCAATCAACATATGTATAGACTTTCACTTTCAGATGATTATGTTTGCTGAATAGTAACCCTGTTCCTGGATACTTCTTCAAATACCTAAGAATCCTCTCTGTTGCATCCATGTGTGGTCTCTTAGGGGAATGCATGAATTGGCTCAAAACCCCAGCTGAATAAGCAATGTCTAGACGTGTCATGGACAAATAAAGCAACCTTCCCACTAACCTTTGAAACTGTTTCACATCTTTCAGTGGTTCACCATTACAATCACAAAGTTTATGATCAACATCCATAGGAGTATCTGCTGGTTTTGCACCTAACTTGCATGTGTCTTGTAACAGATCAAGGATATACTTCCTCTGAGAAATAAAGATGCCCCTTTTTGAGTGAGCAACTTCAATTCCAAGGAAGTACTTTAGAGGACCCAAATCTTTCACTTCAAATTTAGAGGCTAGGAACACCTTTCTTAGCTTGCACACCTTATTTTCACTTCCTTTAGCACAAAAACTAGGGGTTGAACCATGTACACCTCCTCCTCCTCTAGATCACCATTTAAAAATCCATTCTTTATATCCAGTTGATGCAATTCCCAGTCAAGGTTTGCAACCAATGATAGAAGAACCCAAATTGAGTTCATCTTATCTACTGGAGCAAACGATTCATCATAGTCAACACCATAGACTTGAGTGTACCCTTTAGCTACCAACCTTGCTTTGTACCTTTCAACTGTTCCGTCTGCCTTGTGTTTCACTATAAACACCCACTTACACCCCATTGGGTCATTTCCTTTTGGAAGATCCACCAACTCGAATGTCTTATTTTTATGGAGGGCATTAATCTCCTCCTTCATAGCATCAGTCCATTTAGGATATTTTAAAGCCTCTGCAACATTTCTAGGTATGGGGATGCTATCAACTCCAGATAGGAAGGCACAGTGAGAGGGGGAAATGTGATCATAAGAAACATACTGGGTAATGGGGTGTTTGGCAATACATGACCTGACTCCCTTCTATGAGCAATAGAAGGTGTTGGACTTACCTCTTGGGAATTTGAAGGTGTTGGTTTCTCAGTGTTTGGTGGCTCTACATCTGTCACATTGTTGATCTCTACGGCGCGTACGTTGGAAGACACGAAAAGGAGCAGGATCTAGAGTAGAAGAGAGACTTGATGGGCCTGGACCTACTTCTCCTTTTCCATGTTACTCTCCCCCTGAGGAGAAGTAGGGAAGAATGGTTCATACTCAAAAAATGAGATATCCATAGAGACAAAGAACTTATGATCAACGGGATCAAAGCACCGGTAACCCTTTTGAGAGGAGGGATACCCCAAAAAATTCCATGAAATAGACTGAGGGTCTAACTTATCATGAGATGGAGATAAGTCATGGACATAAGCACGACAACTAAACACCCTCATGGGAATGGAAAATAAAGGAGATTGAGGGAACAATAGCCGATGAGGGGCCTTGTAGTTCAACACTCTGGAGGGCATGCGATTTATGATATAAGCAACAACAAGTACAACTTCTACCCAAAACTGTTTTGGAACATTCATATATAACATCATCCCTCAGGCTACTTCAAGGAGGTGTCTGTTCTTTTTTTTTGCTACACCATTTTGTTGTAGTGTTCTTGCACATGAGCTCCTATGAATGAATCCATGAGAAGTAAAGAACTCATTGAGCTCACCATGGAAACATTCCTTCACATTGTCTGATTGGAAAATCTTAATTTCAACATGAAATTGTGTAAACACCATCCTCTAGAAATCTCTCACAATCTTTGAAACTTTGCCTCTGCTACGCATGGGAAATACCCATGTATAGCGGGAGAAATCGTCAATCAATGTGATAAAGTACCTTATACCAACCCTTCGAAGTTATGGTAGTAGGCCCCTACACATCAGAATACACAATATGGAAAGGGAAACTTGATCTTTTATTACTTGAATTAAATATTGTTCTACATTGCTTGCTCAACTGACATGTTGGACACCGGAAACCTGACACTAAACATGACTTAAATAAATAAGGAAACAAAGACTTCACTATTTCAAAAGACACATGACCGAATTGATTATGCCACAAAAAAATTTGACTCTTATTTGACTGACTATGCGACTTTGAGGATGACATCGAGAAACCAGCCTTGTTGTGGAGAGTGTATAGACCATCCACTAAGCTTCCTCTACCAATCGTCCTCTCAGAAGTTAGGTCCTGAAAAACACATGAATCAGGAAAAAAGGTTACTGTAGAGAACACTGATGTGGGCCCCACAGCTGTGGTCCCACTCTGTCTGTAGGGTAGAATGCACCTAGTCATCCTAGGGTTAGCTGATGGTCAATCTATTATTCTAGTTGTTATTTATATTTCAGTTTTACATTGTTTTATGTGTTATGTAAATACCAAGGGCAGATGTGTCCTTTCTGTCCTTCCTTTCAAACTTTGTGTTCTACTGCTCTCTCACTACTCTTTCTCCTCTTTCCTCTATACTTTCTCTCCTTTTCGAACCTGAAATTTATTAGTGCTCAAGACTGATAGCAGTCTTGAACATCTACATGGTATCAGAGCCAAGTTAG